TGCCCTTTGGTCTTGGTCGGGAGATGATGTATGGAGGGGACTGGAACCATGGCAATGTAATGATATGCGATGGAATGAATGTAAAACTAGAGGTCTCTCATGTAAACTATCATATAATTCACAATAAAACATTGAAAAAAAAAAAAAAAAGAAGCACAGACAGAGCGCTCCTTAGAAATCAGGATGACGAGACTTGGCCTCTCATCCTTCAGACATGTTATCAGGAGGGACCTATCCCTGAAGAAGGACATTGTGCTTGGTTAAGTGAAGGGTCAAGGAAAAGAGGAAGAGCCTCAATGAGATGGACTCACACAGTGGCAGCAACAATGGGCTCAAGGCTAACAATTGAGAGGAAGGGGCAGGACTGGGGGATGTTTTGTTCTGTTGTGCAAAGGGGTCGCTGTGAGTCAGAACAGACTCAAAGGCACCTAACAACAACAACAATAGCAACAACGTAAGAGCTCAACGTGGCAACCACAACTTGAAATGGAGGAAGAACAGCTCAGAAAAGGAGGATGAGAAGAGTCACACAACTCACACATTGCCATCGATGTCAGTTGTGCATGTAGAAACTGTTGGATTGGTGGGATACTTTGTTGTGTATATTCTCAACAACAAGAAAATAAAAATTAAAAAATCTAGGGAAAAAACAAAAAAAAAAGGTTGGCCCTTCAAATCACCCAAAGGTTCCATCCACTAAAGAAAGGTCTAGCGATCTGCCTTCCAAAGGCCACAGCCTTGAATACCCTATGAAGCAGTTCTACTCTGCATACATGGGGTCGGTCGCCATAGGTGGGAATTGACTCCACAGCAAGTAACAACACTTGTATACAAAGCATTGTGCTGGGCCCTCAAGAAGATCCAAGAGAAAAAGAAAGGCCCTCACTTAGTTGATTACTATGTTCTTTCATAATTTTTATTTTGACGAATCTTACCTTTCAGAATAGTTGGAAAGATGTCTATCCTCTGGGACACACAGCCGTCACTGTGGTTTTTGGTGCTCCAGCAGATACAACAAAATGAAGACAAATGGAATGTGCCCCACCTCCGCTGTAGGAAAGGCTGGGACTATACTCCTTTTGCTGGTGAGCAAGTTTGAAAGTCCAAAAGGATAAGTAACAAAGTCAATATTATTCGCCTAGGAGATGGTGGAGTTAGAACCCCCACTGTAGGCTCAAATTCCAAGCCCTTTCCAATTATACTGGGAAAAAATATCCTTTCTGGAAAATATCCACCACTGTCAAGTTCTTACTGTCTTTAAAAAAAAAAAAAAAAATCCTAGAAAGACATCGGTCCTAACACACCTCCTGACTTTCAAAGCTAAATGAGTACCCAGACATTAAAAACAAGTTGGAGTTATTAAACAGTCCTGTGCTACGAACAACATGTTAATATAAGTTGGGCTATAAAACAGGACCTCAGAAAAATCAGAATCCACCACCTCCTCACACAGATCTCTGGAACTTTTCTTGTTATTTTTAGCTGCTGTTGAGTTGACCCCCAACTTATGGTGACTTCAAGCACAATGGAATGAACGCTAATGGGCTGGAGCCATATCCATAGTTGTGGATTGGACCATTGTGAGCCATAGGGTTTTCACTGGCTGATTTTCAGAAGTAGATGGCCAGGCCTTTCTTTCTAGTCTTGTCAGGCTAGCAGTTCCACTAAAACCCTTTTCAATATCACAGCAGCAAGCAAGCCAACACTGACAGATGAGTGGTGGTTGCACATTAGGTGCACTGGGTGGGAATCAAACCTGGATCTTCTGCTAGAAGGCTAGTACTCAACCACTTGAACTACTGATGGTTCTCAAATGGTGGGGGTGGAGGATGAGGGCTGCCCTTTACCATTAGATTGCTGGACAGTGTACTTGGAAAATACGTTTATGAAGCCCCTGCTCTGAAGAGCTAGTTGTTCACTTCGCCAGTTTGTTTGTTTGTTTTGCATTTTATCATGGAAAAAGTTAAACATATAGAAAAGTAGACATAGTAATATAACTAACCAGCAGCTTTAACAATTATCAACTCATGACCAGGCTGGATTCATCTATATCCTCACCCATTTCCCCTCATCCTGCATTAATTTCATGAAAATGCCAGGCATTGCACCATTTCATTGATAAATATTTCATTCCTAAAACTAAAACAAGCCTTAGTTCTAGTCCTAAGCCCAACCCCTGCCCCTAAAACTAACCCTAGTCTTAACCATAACCCTAACAGTAAATGAAGTCCTAGACCTTACCTAAACCTAGTCATACATAATCCTTAACCCTGACTTCTTACTCCCACCCCCCTCAAAAAAATTTTTTTTTAAATAAATAACATTGGAGATAAATCTCTCAGTATGACTCACTAAAAGACAGGAGCTTTTAAAACACACACACAATAGTAGTCTTATGTTACCTTGATTGATTTCATCCACTACCCAGTGTCCAAATTTCTAATTCTTATAAACATAATATTTTTTTTTGCAATTTATTTGCTTGAATTAGCAACCAGATAAAGTCTATACGTTGCCATGGGTTATGTCTCTGAAGTGCTTTCTTAATCTATAAATTCACCCTGCAGTTTCAGTCTGGGTTCTTTCTGTTGGTTGTCTTTTAACTTCTTCCTTCATCCTCTGTATTCCCTGTACATTGATAGTTCAATTTAGAGGCTTTGGGCAGTTTGGGTTGACCTTATTAAGAGGCTAAAGCTATTCATTTCATATAGACTTGGACCTGCCGGGCATGAACAGGTGAGGCTAAGGCTCCAGTCAAACTCCTTTGTTGTTGTTGTTAAGTGCCTTCATAGCGATCCTGTATAGGGTCGCCAATCTTGTGCTTCAGGCCGACCTAGCGGTCCAGTGCTTATCCTATAGCGCCACACCGGGACTCCTTAGAAGCAATGATAAAAATGAAAGACTAAATCGGCTTGTGGCACACCCGCCGTCCAGGCACCTCCACAACTGGGAACGGAGGCGGGACAAGATCACCCAGCGAAAGCTTTTTGTGCACTTTTTTATGTGGACAATAAAGTTATCGAAGCCGACGGTCGTCGGGGCTGAGAACTTCCTACCGGAAGTGACGCGCGCGGCCGAGGAAGAAGTCTCCATAGAGGCGCCGAGACGGATAGAGGGTCTGCTCCCGGGTCGTCTGGACTTCCGGCCAGTTACTTGGACGACGAACTTAGTAGGGTCCGAAAGTGACAGCACCCGCGGAAATCTCCGGGGACCAACACTGCGGCGGCGACCCCGCCGGCGGGATGTTCCGGGGTCTGAGCAGTTGGTTTGGCTTGGAGCAGCCGGTGGCGTCTGAGGAAGACCGGCCACCGGAGGAAAACGCTCCACCCAAGCAGCGCTCCGAGGTGGTGGCGGAGTCCACGGAGCCGGAGCCACAGCAGGCGGGGGACCAGGAGCCCCTTCTCGACCAGGACAAAGGCTTCGGCGGTGAGTCTTCCCCGGGGCCGGAGAGCGCGGGGAAGCGTCCCCCGACACCCTTGGAGGAGGGTGTGTGTCGGTCGGTCCTCCCGGGGGACGGGTGGGATCGTTAAAGAATCTTAAAGGCTTTATCTAGCTGTCAAACCCTGTCCCTGAAGTTCCTGGTAATGTGTCAGTCTTTGCAAAGTTGGCAAACACTGGGAGCAGGTCCGCAGTAAAGTATGACTTGACGTCTGGAAGTTTGTGAAGGAATCGATTTTGTTCTTTTCGCCAGCTTCCTTCCGATCCTCAGGACTGGGGGTGTTGATGGTGACAAAGTGCCTTTTTGCCCGTAGAGCAGAATGTGCTTTCCAAAGTAAATGGACCGACTTATTGGACGTCAAGCTAATCTCTTTTAAAGTGGGGAAGGAGCTGCCAATTGAGTAGTGCAGCCAGTTAAGTGCTTAACTACTAGCCCAAAAGTTGGTGGTTTGAAGCCACCCAGAGGTGTCAAGAACGACAGGCCGGGTGGTCTGCGCCTTAAAGGTCACAGCCATGAAATCCCTATAGGAGCAATTCTACTCTGCACACCTGGGTTTGCCATGGGTTGGCATTGACTGGATGGAGACTAATAACAATGTGTAGGTTGCAATACTAGATGGTTTATGAACACTCTCATTTCATTTGTTAAACATCCCATTGAATTTGGGGGTGGGGGGTGGGGACAGGAGGGACAGGCTCAGAGTTACTTGTCCAGAGTTACACTTAGAGTAAGCAGAAGTGGAATTTAAATGTAAATTTAGGTCTGTCTACTTTGGTAGCATAGTGGTTACGAATCAGGCTGCTAACCTCAAGGTCAGCAGTTTGAACCTACCGGCTGTTCCGCAGGAGAAAGATGAGGCTTTCTGCTCCCATAAAGATTTACAGCCTCAGAAACCCTATACAGGGTCGCTATGAGTCGGAACCGACTCCACGGCACATAACAACAACAACAACTTTCAAAACCCTGGTAGCATAGTGGGTTATAAGCTGGGCAGCTAACCACAAGGTCAGCAGTTTGAATCTGCTAGCACTATTCCAGAGAAGGATGAGGCTTTCTGCTCTTGGGACAATTGACAGCCCTGAAAACTCTATGCAGACAGAAATCACTAGGAGTTGGAACCAACCTGATGACACCACCACCACCACTTTCAAAGTTCATGCTCTTTCTGAACTGGGGTGGCTGAGATAGAAGGCATGAAGAGTAAACACATGCTGTAGTGTTTCTGATTCTGGAGAGATCTTCCCAGGCAAAAGTCAAAGGAAGTGTCTTTGAGGAGGAAATGGGTCCTAACCCAGACAGCACTGCTGCAGCAAAAGCAGATGTTCAATGTAGGAAACATTTTTTTAAGGATCTATGAAAAGACAAAGAGGGCTGGGGAGGGTGAGCATGAGTGGAGAAACACTTTTGAAATAGCAAGGCCCTACCTCACCTTCCAAGGAGCTCTGGTAGCATAGTGGTTACGGGTTGGGCTGCCAACCGCAAGGTCAGCAGTTCAAAACTACCAGCTGTTCCGCGGGAGAAAGATGAGGCTTTCTGTTCCCATAAAGATGTACAGCCTCGGAAACCCTGTACAGAGTCGCTATGAGTCGGAACCGACTCCACGGCACATAGCAATAACAACAACAAAGGACTCATTAGGATCTGGTGAAGAAAATAATTTGACTGGAATACTGAGGCTAGATTAGTGGATTGGACGATGGTTGGAAGTACAGGGTTGTTGTTGTTAAGTGCCGTCGAGTCAGTTCTGACCCATTGCGACCCTGTATAGGGTTTCCAAGGAGCTTCTGGTGAGCTTGAACCACCGACCTTGCAGTTCAGATGGCTTTGCAGTCTGGCACATTAACCCACAGTGCCACACCAGGATCCAAAGGTTTATTCCTTTTCATAGGGAAATGCAGGGTATGGACTGAGTTATCGACAGGACCTTCTTAAAACTTCTTAGTTGCCATCAAATTGGCTCCCATTTATGGTGACCTGTGTTGTGGGTTGAATTGTGGCCCCCAAAATATGTATTGTAATTCCTAACTTCTATGCTTGTGACTTGGAGAGTGCAGTGACTTCATAGGATAAGCACTAGACTGTGAACTACAAGGCTGGTGATTCAAGTCCACCAGCTCTTCCTTGGAAGAAAGATGAGGCTTTCTGCTCCTGTAAAAATACACAGTGTTGGAAACCCTTACAGGACCGCTATGATTGGAAGTGACTCCACAGTGCTTAACAGCAACATGCCTGTGATTAAGCAGCCCTGGTGGCATAGCATGTTAACCATCAGGCTGCTAACCTCCAGGTTGACAGTTCAAACCCACCAGCTACTCCCCTAGAGAAAGATGAGGCTTTCTGCTCCTGTAAAGATTGGAGTCCTAGTGTGGCGCTGTAGGATAAGCACTTAACTGCTAACTACACGGGGTTGCTATGAGTCAGGACCGATTCAGTGGTACTTAGCAACAACACCAAGATTATTTACAGCCTCCCAAACCCTATGGAGTAGTTCTACTTGGCTCTGTCGGGTCGCTATGAGTCAGAATCAACCAGATGGCTGTGGCTTTGGTTTTTATGCCTGTGGTTATAATCCCATTCGGAACAAGTTGTCTTTGTTTTGTTAATAGACAGGAGTAGTGTACGGTGTGCTTGAGTCTATCTCTTGCCAAGTATACGAAGGCTTCAAAAAGTTCGAGGAAAAATGGAGTTAAGAGATAATGGAATTTTCCCATAAACTTTTTGATGCCCTAATGTAAAAGGGATTAATTAGATGCAAGCTAGAAACAGAGACCCTTGTGTAGCAAAACGAGTCATGCCCTGTGTCATCTTCTCAATTGCTGGTCCTTTGTTGGAGCCACTGTGTATTTTGAGTGCTTTGCAACCTAGAGGACTCGTTATCGGGGGCTTCAAGACGTTCGTGGAAAAAATGGAATATAAAGGTGATCCATAGGGTTTTCACTGGCTAATTTTCAGAAGCGGATCACCAGGCCTTTCTTCTTAGTCTTTTTTAGTCAAGAAGTTCTGCTGGCATTTGAAATGGCATAGCTTCCAACCTCACAGCAATGTGCAAGCCACTACAGCGTGACAAACTGATCGGCACTGGTTAGCTTAAAACTTAGGGCTTTACTGTCAAATCTTGAAATCTTTGCTTGTGTATTTAGGAAAGGCCTCTAAATTCTTTGAGTAGCTGTGTTTTTGATGCAGACATCTGCTTTGGAACTAGTACACTTGTCTCTTTCTAGAATGCTGCCATCTGTACCTCTTCTTCACCAGGTTCTCTTTTGATATTTGGGAGACTAAGATTAAATGAAAGTTCCCATTTCTCCCCCCTCCCCCCTGTACACACACATTGTAGACTTCAAAGTTTCCGAATACATGAAAGCCTAAAATGTATGTGATTTCAGAAAGACTCAGAGGTTCTTGTTTCCTCGCTAACTTTTAGAGAGACAGAGATGTTCAACCTCTTCTTGATTTTTACTTACTGATCCTAAGGGGTCTGTTAGTTTCCAAAACGCCCATAATTTGAAAACAAAACTTGAATGTCTCTGAGCCTGGCTCCCACTGAGTAGGTTCCTTTGCTTTTTGTTGTAAGGTGCTGTTGAGTCTATTCCAATTCATAGCAACCTTATGTACAACAGAATGAAACACTGCCCAGTCCTGCACCAACCTCACAATCATTGTTAAGCTTGAGCTCATTATTGCTGCCACTGTGCCGATCCATCTGATTGGGGGTCTTCCTCTTTTTCTATAACCCTCTACTTTACCTAGCATAATGTCCGTCTTCAGGCACTGGTCCTTCCTGACAATATGTCCAGAGTATGAGAGAAGAAGTCTGACCATCATGCTTCCAAGGAGCAGTCTTGCTGTATTTCTTCCAACATAGATTTGTTTGCTCTTCTACTTTTAATATTCTCCTCCAACTCCGTAACTCAAATGCAGCTATTCTTCTAAGGTCTTCCTTATTCACTGTCCAGCTTTCACATGCAGATGAGACTTTTGAAAATGCTGTGACTTGCTCGGGTCAGGCGCACTTTAGTCCTCAAACTGACATCTTTGTTCTTGAACACTTTAAAGATATCTTGTGCAACAGATTTGCTTAATGCAATATGTTGTTTGATTTCTTGACTGCTGTTTCCATGAGTGTTAATGATGGACCCAAGCAAAAAGAAGTCTTTGACAGCTTCAATCTTTTCTCCATTTATCGCGATGTTATTTATTAATCTAGTGGTGAGGATTTTTGTTTTCTTTACATTGAGATGCAATCCATATAGAAGGTTGTGGTCTTTGATTTTCATCAGTATTTTCACATCCTTTTCATTTTCAGTAAGCAAGGTTGCATCATCTGCATATCATAGATTGTTAATGAGTCTTCCTCCAATCCTGATGCACGTTCTTCTTCATATAATCTAGTTTCTCAGACTATTTGTTCAGCATGCAGATTAGAATAAGTAAGGTGAAAGAATACAACCCTGGCGCACACCTTTCCTGATTTTAAACTATTCAGTGTCCCCTTGTTCTGTTTGAACGACTGCCTCTTGGTCTACGTACAGATTTCCTCATGAACATAATTAAGTGTGGCCATGCACAATGTGTTCCATAGCTTGTCCTGACCCACACAGTCGAAAGCCTGTGCTTAGTCAGTAAAGCACAGATAAACATCTTTCTTTTTAGTCTACAAAATCTACACGGAATTTTCTGGGATCCCTATTTGTTCTGCAAACATTTGCTAAATACTTCAAGTTGGGACCCTAAATACTTCCTGGTCTATGGTCACCTGTTTGTAAATATGGGCAGCATACCAGTTACCAGTGGTGCACGCCCAGGACTGCATTCCATGCCCTCACCCCAAATCAATCTGTCTGTTCCTTGGCCCTCCGTCCTGAGAAACCTGTAGTCTCCTTTGATCTGCTTCAGAAAGAAGAACAGCTCACCAGGGACTGTTGAAGAGCTCCTCCCTACCTGAAGGGCCCCACCCACAGCAACTTTTCTTATTCAGCACAATATGGTTGGTGTGTTGGTTTTCGTATTTGTTTAAAGTTGCCAAATTAAGAGTTGTATCTGTCTTCTTTCTTTAAAAAATGCTTGTATCTCTGGGAGTGTTAAAAATCCAAATTATTCACACAGTTTAAATCAGTGAGAAGGTAGCCAAAGATGAGTCTTAACTGTGTCAGAAATGTTCCTGACACTAATCCATGCCCAGCAATGGAGGAAGGGCCACCTCCTCTTCCTTCTGTTTTGAAGAAGGCTGGGATTATTGCAATGGAACTGTGTGATTTAGGCCAGCTGCCTTTTGTCATTGTTGTTGTTCCTTATGGAGAAAGTGCATTTCAAGTTCAGATGTCAACTTGCAAACTAAGAGGGCTCCCAATGTGAGTGTGCCTGCCTGGGAAGATGTCTGTGCTTTGATGTAGAGGTAAAGTATCCAAATGGGTCCTGATGGCCACAGTTCTGGTGACAAACGCAGGTTTCCCATGAGGAAAGGATGTAAATAACGAGCCCATGTATAGCACGCTTAGGAAAATAACACACCAGAGGTGTGCATTTGGTAAACTGCATGTATTACTGTTATTGTTAAGTGCCATCAAGTTGGTTCCCACTCACAGCGACCTTGTATAGGGTTTCTGAGGAGTTGCTGGTTGGTGAGTTTGAACCACAAACCTTGCGGTTCCAAGTCAGTCCTATAGTTGAGCCCTTGTTCTACAGCACCATACCAGCTAGCTGCTTAAAAATACAATATGCCTACCCTTCTTCCCAGAAAGCTTGTGAAAATAAAATGGCATAGTGAAAATGAAGATAAAATAACTGTTAGCTAAGGTGTACTCATTCTCAACAAATTTTCATTTGACATCTCCTTTGGTTACTGCTTCATTTCAGACCCTGTCTTGATTCCTGAGTTCCTGAAGTGGACATTGTACTCTTATTACTTCTGGTTAACTCTTATCGAATGTCTTCTTAGTCTCAATATTTCTGAACCACTTAGCAAAACTGCATGTAAGTTGGTGTTAGATGATCTCTGAGAATTTAATACATTTTTTCTCAGCCTTCTTGCCTGGAGGTGTCTTGGCCCTTCTCTCCTGCTGGCCTCAGGAATCCAGGCCGCCCTCTCCCCTCTCGGAGTAGCTCCTCTTCTGTTTAATGAGTAAGCCTCGGTGTCGTGTTGTGTTGCCTTTGACTTGGACTTTCTTGTTCCGAAATGGACATTCCGTGGGAGCTAGAGCAGCACTTTCTCTAACACTCCAAATGTTCAGTGTACTTCGCCCACGAAGAATGGCAAGAATGGGACCAGAGTATAGCTAAGTAATGTCCTGTGGTGTCATCACAATGGGATGTTGATGTGACAGAAGCCACAAGACACAAGTGGAGGATGTACAAAGTTGGAGAAAACTCGCTCAGATTAGGAGGTGATACTGCACAATCCTAGATTTTCGTACAAGTTGTTTGATTTGTTGGCAGTGATATTACCAATGCAATGGGGATTTGATCTGGTGGACCAAGCTCCCCTTGCCACTTCTGTTGGTTTTCCTGCCTGCACCTCGACAGCTGCCAGCTGCCCCTCACCCACCCTGACTGGTAACTGTGAGTAAAGTGAGGAGAATGGCCTGGGAGTGGGCTGGGAGTAGCCTCCAGCCAGTCCAGCAGTAGGACCTGCCCGAGGTCGCTCTGTGCAGGCCAGAATCTGTAGAGTGTGTGGACTTTGAAAATGCCTGTGTGTGCTGATTGGCCTTTATATTAGAGAGTTACCGAGCCACGGTGCAGGTGTCATCTCACAGCTTCCGGGAAGTTCATTTTGTGTTGTGTTCTGTTCTGTAAAACTGAAAATGTGTGTATTCCAGGTGTCGTCTTGTCCTATATATTTGTCCATTATTATTAGCTAAGAAGAATTGATGGAGCCAATGGTGGTGCTGAACTAGAATTCTTGTCTTCCATGCGTGAGGCCCAGGTTTGGTTCCCAGCACAGCCACCACCCAGCCCCCTGTCAGTGGAGACTTGTGTGTTACTATGATGTTAAACAGGTTTCAGGGGTGCTTTCAGATTAAGACAGGAAGAAAGGGCTGGCAATCTACTTCTGAAAAAAAAATCAGCCATTGAAAAAAGCCTATGGGTCACAGTGATCCAATCCTGTTGTGTGTGGGATCACCATGAATCAGGGCCCAACACAATGACCGCTAACCAAGAAGGATTTCTATATAAGTGTTTATGTTAGGGCCTGCCAGGATTTCTATTTATTAAATATTTCCTCAGGCTTTTCATAGGATTGGATGATCTGGGAAAGGAGCGACCTGTGTTTTCATTGAACAGGAGAAGACGAGTCTTAAAGAAAGAGGACATACATGGAGGCTAGGAAGGACCCAAAGGAGCCTTAATCTGATTTCTGTGGCAGGAGAGGAGATTATTTACTGATATCAGTTAGAACTGGAGACTTGAGAAGGGTAAGAAAAGTTTGAAACAGCTGCTGGGGCCAGTCTGCTAGCTGTCTTTGAGAGAGATTAATTTAAGGCCCAGTATGGAACGGCCAAAGGAGCTCTGCTAGCGTAGTGGTTACGAATTGGACTGTGAACCTCAAGGTCAGCAGTTCGAAACTACCAGCTGTTCCCAGGCGAAAGATGAGGCTTTCTGCTCCCATAAAGATTTACAACGTTGGAAACCCTGTACAGGGTCGCTATGAGTCAGAACCAACTCCACGGCACATAACCACCACCACCATGGAACGGCCAAATTACCAAGAAAGTGGACCTCATTCTTGTGTCAAACTCTTAATTCACAAGGAACTTGTCCTACAGTGTTAAGATTCTTACAAGATCCTCCTGAAGGGAAAAATCCCCTGTGCACTAGCTATTGTATTTAAACAAAAATCTACTCTTTTTTTCTTCTTGCAGACTATCTGTTTAACTTTGCAACGGTAGCTACAAAAAGGATAACTGAATCTGTGACCAAAACAGCACAAACAATAAAGAAATCAGTAGAAGAAGGAAAAATAGATGACATCATCGATAAGGTACATTTCATTCTTGGATGTCTAAGTTTGTGAAATTCATTAGCTATTAACATAATCACCCCAATTTTATGAACTTTACTATTCACCCAAGTAAAAAAAATACCATAGTTTGATTTAAAAAATATTAATTGTTGATATTCTTGGGTTTTGAGTTTTTCTCTCTCTTTGTACATGTGGCTATGTTACAAATTGCCTGATTTAAGTAACTTTGGTTTTTCTTTGAATGTGTTATAAAGTACATTGATACTTTTGAGTGGTATCAAACGTCCCATATTGCTGGTTTTGTTTTGAAATATAACTATTTCCAAGTATACTTAATGCCTTTGCTGATCAAGGTTACATTTCAAGCCCCAGCCGATTAAGAAAGCCCTGTGAAGACTCTCAAGGAGTGAGTTCATTTGTTGCCGTGTCGGGGCTGGGCCTAGGGGAGTTCATTTATGTTTGTAACAACTGGAAGACCTCCATGCATTGCACCTTGGCTTATTAAAGTTTTACAGATACAGCGATGTTTAATACAGCGTTATTTACAAATGGAAAATTTGTGGTAACCGTGGACCGAGCAAGTCTGTTGGGGCCATTTTCCCAGCAGTGTGTGTGCTCACTTAATGTCTCTGTCTCCAATTTTGGCCATTTTCACAAGATTTTCAACTTTTTTTTTTCCTTTCTTTTTTTTTAATATAAAACTATTTATTGAGCATTGTTCACCAGTATTGGCAACCAAGTAAATAATATACAATTGGATTAACGTTCTGTTTACTACAAAGTTACTTTTCCTGGTTTCAGTTGAACCAGTAGCCAAATGCTGAGAAGATTGAACCTACATGTAAACAGTGGGTTGGAATAAAACAAAAAACAAAATCCATGTAGGCCAATCGTTTACAAGTTTGTTCACCCATTTATGCCAGCAGGTGCGAAACTGCAACACCTCCAATGTCTTTTCAGATTCTCAGCAGCAAGGTCTTAGCCATGCCATGAATCATGAACACAGGAATTTCAACTTGCTGTAAAGGAATGGCCTCTCTAAAAAGATCTAATCCAATTTTGCTAAGTCTTGCTTGGTTTGTTTGAACATTACAATATCTGTCCAGTTTTCTAACCTGAGTGGGGAGGTTTCTAGTACTGGTAAGATTTTTGTTTCAGGGAAATTTGCAAATAAACAGTTTCAATTATATGGATTTTGATATATATGTTTCAAGTTGTCCAATTAATTACTGGATCATTTATTTGAATAGAACTTCATGGCTTCCAATTTGTTTCAGTTTTACTTGAGATAATCTATTTCTTGCGTTGTTCAGAATGATAGTATCTCGGAAACCATACAGATGTACCCATGATTGTGAAATGCTGTTTTTGTTTAGAGTTGTTTTGTTTCTGGTGAAGGTAAAACCAAATAAAATAAATTTACATATGTATTTATGTTTACACAAAAACAAATGCCAAAACCCCAGATTGGTCCTTGCTGTTGTTGTTAAGTCCCATCAAGTTGGTCCCTGGATAGGGTTTCCAAGGAGCGGCTGGTGAGTTTGAACTGCCAAACTTGAAGTTCAAACTGACCTTGATGTCAAGTGCCTATCCTACAGCACCATACCAGGACTGCAGACTGGTTCTTAGGCATATATTTGTGGGTTAAACACAAGTTCTGATTCAGTAATGATTAGATAAAATTTTACAATATTTAGGAAAGCTATCCTATAGTGCAGTGGAAATAATATGCCATGGCATCAAATGTTCTTTTATGATAAATGAAGCAAGTACAGAAAACTTTTATGTATTTGCTCAAAGCAAAGTAAAGCAAAAACCCCAAGTCCATTACTACTTCAAAACGAACATCAAACTTGATTTTCATTAGAATGTCGTTACTCTTCATACTAATTAAAAAAAACAAAAAAAAAAAACCAAGACCCAAAATTTGTGTGTGTGTGTAAAGACAATGCAAACAGTTAATGAGCTTCATCTTCTGGACAGGAATGCCAAGTTAGTCTTTCTTCATAAAACGCAAGTACAATTTGAGGACATTTCATGTTTGCCTCTTATGCCAGCACCAAGTCTTCCTCAACCCAGTCTTTCCGTTTCGTGAGAAGCATTAATTCTCCACTGCTGTCTGTGGCAACTGTTGTTCACTCAGCCTCAAGATCTCTGGTAAAGCCCTTGGGTTTGTCAGCAGCATCTCTTTTTTTTTTTTTTTCTATTGTGGATTGAGTGAAAGTTTACAGGGCACATCATCAGTTTCACATTCAACCATTCATATGACTTGTTTCATTACATTGATTATAGTCCCCTCCATACATCATCAGTCAACAGTGTTTCTCTCTATCCTCTTTAGCCTTTTTTTTTTTTTTTTTTTGCGGGGGGGGGGGAACTTTGCCTTTTTGGAATTTACAGTCTCGGCTTTTAGGGAAGGTTTTTACATTTATCTGTGGATATCCAGGGTCAGCAGCATCTCTTTTTATCTTTGATTTGCTGTCATCAGATTCATGGTCAGATAAAGATTTCCTTTTTGTACCATCTTTTTCTTTACCAGCTTTTTGAGAATTCAGAAATGTCAATTAATTCTGGACAACCTACATTTTCTTCCGGTTCCCAAGTATTGTCAGCATCTGTAAATCCTTCCCACTTCAGGGAAATACCCCACTTTCCTGTAAACTACACGGCGGTCCAGTACTTTTTCTACCACAAATTCCTCAGGTCCTGCCTTTTCAACTTTTTTACTCTTTTCATTTTGTTCCCCTGCCCCCCTCCTCCCAGTTTTATTGGAGACCATTTTTAATGGCAGACTTGAGCTTTTATTCACCGCCTCCAGGCTGCTCCGGCTCCTGTGTCTGCAGCAGTTTGGCCCTGCGTGCCTCCAGCTTGAGCCGCATCCAAGGAGAAGGAGGAGGGGACTTGGGAGCTTCGTGCTGGGCCACCTGGGCAAGAGGGCGATTTCCAACTGTTCTACCATGCACACCATAGACTACAGTCTAGTGTCAACATCACTTTGTTTTTTGAAGCTTTTATTGTGAATTGAGTGATAGTTTACAGGGCAGATCATCAGTTTTACACTGAACAAATCATATTTTGCTTCATTGCAATGATTACAACTCCCTACATGCACCATCAGTTAATAGTATTTGCATATTCCCCCCCTTTATTTTAAGTACACAAAACACACAGAAAATATATATCTTTCTCTGCCTCCATCCCTGCTGTCTCCACTGGTTAGGATACCACACTCCACTCATGCTCTTCCCTCTTGATGGTCCTAGGGTTTTTTGTTCCTGGAATGAAAGATTCACTGCCCCCCCCCCTTTTTGTTTCACATCTTCTACCTTTACAGTTGTGACAATCACAATTACTCATGATAACAATTAGTCGCTATTGAATCCAAAGAATCCTATCTCCACCCGCCCCCATCCCCTTTCACCAAATCCATGTGGACAAGAGAAAAATGATTCAGTGGGGATTCTCCCTTACTCTCCTCATTCTAAAACTAAGCACATTCTTCAAAGCTTGTAAGCCAGACACTTCATTCCTTTATAGCCACCCATTTTGGGTAGCCAGTGTCTTAAGTTTTCTGTCCCTATCAACTCAACATCACTTTTAGGAAGAGGCTTCAAAAACTTCATGGAAAAATTCCATTGTCTTTCAGTTCCATTTTTCTACAAACTTTCTGAAGCCCTCTTATATATGCACTGGAAGTCCAAAAAATTTCATGTGACTCCCTTTCTTGCAGTATTCGCTTTATCACACTCATCTGGAACCGAACCAACAGTATCTCCGAGGTTTGCCTGTATTTTGAATTAAGGAGGCTACCCATTAAAGCTTAGAGATTCTGTTGTTTAGATATTTTTGTTATGTATACTATGTGTGGAGTCCTGCTGTGGCACTATAGGTTAATGCACCAGACTGCAAAGCTGTTCGAACTGCAAAGTCGGTAGTTCAAGCTCACCAGCCACTCCTCGGAAACCCTATACAGGGTCGCTATGGGTCGGAACCGACTCGATGACACTTAACAACAACAACAATACTATGTGTACAGAGTCATGGTGTAGCGCTGTAGAATAAGCCTGGGCCGCAAGGTTGGTTTGACCCGCAAAGTCAGTGGTTCAAACTCACCAGCCACTCCTTGAAAAACCTATACAGGGTCGCTATTAAGTTGAAAGCAATTCGACGGCACTTGACAACAACAACTACTTGTAAGTATGAGCTTTAACTGGTCCTTTATTATTTTATGGAATGATGCAAAAATAAATGGTAAATCTATTTTTTTTGCATTTGAGAAGATAATCCTTTATAGACTTAAGTCAAAAATGTCAGAGATTCCCTCTTGAGGAAATGGAGAATAATAATACTCAGTGAAAATGAGCAAAATGTTTCAAATAGACTTCTAAAATCGTGGATTGATTTCTTATCTGATAGTAAGCTTTTCAAAGTATTTGATTCTTCCTGGGTTTTGTTTGTTTGTTTTTAACAGACAATTATAGGAGATTTCCAAAAGGAACAGAAAAAATTTGTTCAGGAGCAACATACAAAAAAGTCAGGTACGGTATAGGTTTGCATTACATGGCTTATTAAATTTGTCAAATTTTGTTGTGCGCCTTCCACATGCTAGCCACCACACCAAGACTCTAAAAGTATAGAAATATGTGTGAGAAATGGCCCCCATCTCTTGGGCCTCCCCAAGATCAGTCAGGAAAACAAACCCAGAAACCTTGGAGGTTCAAAAGAAAGGAGTAAGCCCTGCCTTGTGATGGGTCAGCTGCAGTTTTCATTCCTCCTATGTCACAGAGAATGATGGGCTCTGCCTAGTAAATGACATTTACGTATTGGCACTTTGCACATGTTGACGCTGCCCATTCTTTTCAGGAGAGCCTTCTGGGTAGTGATGGCCTTGAGGAGACATTCAGTACATTTCCCCCAAACCAAACCCATTGCCACCCAGTCTATGCTGCATCCTAACTAGAGCCTGTAGGACAGAGTCACATGACCCCATAGGCTTCCTAAGGCTGTCATTTTCATGTTCTCTCCATCTTCACAGAGCAGCTGAGGGCTTTAACCCCTGTACCACCTGCTCGCCTTATTTCAGAAGTAGCAAAATTGGGGTTGTAATTGCCACTGTTTGCTAGCTTAGGATGAAGCAAGCACACGCATGTCTCCTACGTTTGGCTGCAGGCCACAAGTAAAAGGGATTCTCTCTATTGACAGATGTGAGAGAGTGTCCATTTTCCCAGGGGCCTCTCTTTTTTTTTTTTCCCCAGGGTCTTCTCTTAACCCTTTAGTTTTCTCACATTGTTCTCTTCTAAAGGCCTTGCGGGGTTCCCCAGCCTGATTCCCATGCTCCTTGTCAGTGGCTTTGCCGAGATTCAGGCGCTTCTCCACTCTCACTTTCGCTGACTTCAGGAAGCACATTTGCAAGGTTGCCATTTGCACTTTGAAATGGGTTTGCCTCATGCGTCTGCCACATGTTGCTCTGTGGACTGCTAGACTTGTGGTGATTGGTGGTTATGTGCCATGGAGTCGGTTCCAACTCATAGTGACCCTGCACAGGGTTTCCAAGGCTGTAAATATTTACGGGAGCAGAAAGCCTAATCTTTCTCCCACAAAACAGCTGGTAGTTTCGAACTGCTGACCTTGCAGTTTGCAGCCCGATTCGTAGCTAGACTAGTAGGGATCAAATCTAGTGTTAAGGCTTGTGTACCTGGTGGCTCTTACTTCCCATGTTAATCTTGTGACTGGTGGCTACTGAGTGCCGGGAGTTAAGGACCGTCTGTCTGTGTACATCTGTGCTGACCACTGAAAGCACAGCCTAGCTCAGACTGCTTTCCCTGCTCCGGGCTTTTGCACGGCATCCCTGAGCTCTTGGGATGCGCAGATGACAGAGTTGCTCCTCGGAGGAGCCATACCCTCTTTTTTTTTTTCACTTCCCTCTGCCTTTACACATGCTGTTCCCTCTGAGCCCCTATCGCCCACAAATGCTTGTCCTGGTCCCACATTGGGTTCCTAGGACACCCCAGGTGGTTGCCATTTGTAGTTTAACCTGCACGTGCTCCTTTACTTGTGAGCCCTAGAAACGGTGTTAGGCTGGGTCGCTCCAGCACTTGGGTTCTGATGACACATTAAGGATCCATTTCCAGCCCGATTTTTTCTTGCCCCCAGTTTGTCCAACTCTTCCCTCATTTCCTTTCCCTCCTGAAATTCTTTTTCCCAATTCCTTGCAGCCTCCTCATCACCTTTTGTTCTGAATCAAGTCCAGTAACTTTTTTTTCAGTTAACTCCTAGTTTGGAAATCATTTCTGTTTCGAGAAAATTGATAACAATAAAATAGTAAAGAATGCACTCCTATAAACAGCTGCTAACCAAAAGGTTGACAGTTTGAACCCACCGTGTGCTCGGAGGAAGAAAGATGTGGCAGTTTGCTTCTGTAAAGATGAAACCCTATGAGGCAGTTCTACTCAGCCCTACGGAGTCAGTGTGAGTCTGAATCCACTCATTGGCTGGTGTGGCACTACAGGATAATGTGCGGGACTGCAAAGTTGGCAGTTCAAACCCACCAGCTGCTCCTCGGAAACCCTATACAGGGTCGCTGTAACTCGGAACCGACTCGAAGGCACTCAACAACAACAACCCTCTACCTAGATTAAGTTCTAGTCCATTTGCTTTATTATCCAATTTTTCTCACTTTCTCTGTGTCATTTTATATATATATCCATCCATGTTGTCGTTGCTATGTGCCGTGGAGTCGGTTCCAACTCATAGCGACCCTGTACAGGGTTTCCAAGGCTGTAAATCTTTATAGGAGCAGAAAGCCTCATCTTTCTCCCGTGGAATAGCTGGTAATTTCGAACTGCTGACCTTGCGGTTCGCAGCCCGATTCGTAACCACTATGCTACCAGAGCTCCTGGTATATATATATATATATAATCCATATCAGTGTATATTTCCTAAGAATTGGAAGTATTCTCTTACCATAGTCATAGTACCACTGCTCACTTTGGGAAATTAACATTGATGCAATATTTTTGTCTAATCTGCCTTTCTTATTCAAATTTAGATTGACCCTATAATGTCCTTTATACCATTTTCCCCTTTCAGTACAGGATCCATTTTAGGGTTACATACTATGTTATTTGTCATGTCTCCTGGTGGCCTCATTAAATCTGGGACATTTCCATAGCCTTTCTTTGTCTTTTATGACATTACTGTTTTTGAAGAGTGCCGACTTCCTCATTTTTGTTTTGTTTAGTTTTTTTCTTTTATATAATATTTTATTGCGTTTAAGGTGGAAGTTTACACAGCAAATTAGATTTCCATTTAACAATTTCCACGCAAATTGTTAAGTGATATTAATGACATTTTTCCACAATGTGTCATTTTCTCATTCATTTTGTTCTTGTGCAATTTCCTGTACTATATGCGGGAGCTTCAGAAAGTTTATGGGATAGTGGAATTTTTCCATGAACTTTTTGAAGCTTCCCTTATAGTTTCTCTGCCCCCTTACCTTCTCTTCTCTGTGCTAAAATAATTTTAACTTTTAATTGTGAATTGAGTGAAAATTTAAAGCGCAAATCATCAACTTTGCATTCAGCAAGTATTAACATTTCGTTTCATCTCAAAGATTGCAATCCCCTCAGTATTACATCGCTTATATCCTCCCTGCGTTTGTTGTTGTCATTCCTTCTTTCCCAACCCTTCTGAATGTATCTTTGGGTAAATGCTGCCATTTTGGTCCTCCTTTTTTTGAATAGAATGTTCATCATTTGAGCATTGTCTGGTTTTTTGTTTGTTTTCCCTGTGACTAGATCAGCCTGTCTATTCTTGACCAGAAGACTCCTTGGCGATGTTGTATCCTTATCAGGGTATCATATCTGGAGACCCGTGATGTCTGTCTGTCCCTCATTGGTGATGTTCATTCTGATCACCTGGTCAAGGTGTTACCAGTTTCTCCACTGTATAATCCAATCAGAGTGGTTGGCTTTAACCAAATGTGTACATGCATAAGATTCACACGTTAAGTCTGGGTGTTGTGGTAAATGTGCAGGTTTGGAACACACTATAAACCACTTTTTTAAATGAATGCATAGAAATTCTCTGATTCTGTCCAACCACAGATTGTAGTGTAACCATTGTAACCTGGTTTTCTCTTCTCCTCTTGCCATTGAGTACCTTACAGAAGCAGCAGTGCCTCCATGGGTTGATAGTAATGATGAAGAAACAATCCAACAGCAAATCTTGGCCTTATCAGCTGTAAGTTTCTTGTTGCGATACTGTCTGTAGAACATACTTTATTCCAGTCATGCTGCATCCATATGGCTGGCTGTATCCTTGGCAGAATTTTGTTCTTCTACACCGTGTTTTTTCAAGAGTGCTGGTGGTACTGGATTTCTAACAACAAGGTTGGCAGTTCGACTCCACCAGCCAGTCTATGGGAGAAAGATGAGGCTTTCTGCTCCCATAAAGATCTACAGCTTCAGAAACTCTATACAGGGTTGTTCTGAATTGGAACCAGCTCGATGGCACCTAACAACAGCAACAACATAGTTTTTTTGTATTCTGAGATGTTAGGAATGCACATAACTCTCATTAACTTTCCCCCCTAACTTTTAAGTTATTTATTTTCAAGTTCTTTGTTATTGATGTGAAAGTCTAGACTAACACACGAAATAATTCTTTCAGCCATGAAATACTCTTTTCTGTTGTATTAAGATAGTTTTTTCTGTTGAATCTCTTCTCAGCATTCTCCAGTTTCTCTCTTTAACTGCTGCATTTGTTTGTTTGAAACTGAAATTGATTGAAGTACAATTCCATATGCTAATCACACAATCCATAGTCTCCACGATGCTGAGACCAGAACTAGATGGGGCTGGCTACCCCAGTTGATCACAATTGATGACTATAGAAGGTCCTGCACAGAGTGGGAGAAAATGTAGAACAAAATTCAAACTCATGAAAAGACCAGACTGGCTGGTCTGGTAGAGACAGGGGGGGGGGGGGGGGGGGGGGGGGGGGGGGGGGGGGGGGGGGGGGGGGGGGATCTTTCAGATTCAGAACTCAACCCCCAAAGTCACCTTTCAGCAAAATCATAGACAAACCTATAAAGGAACAAATTCAGTCAACCATGTTGTTTTTGTTAAGTTGTTTGGAGTCAGTACCAACTCCTAGGGACCCTGCATAGAGTTCCCCAGGCCTGTAAATGTTTTGGGGACCAGAAAGCCTTATCTTTCTTCCATGGAACAGTTGGTGGGTTTGAACTGCCAACCTTGTGGTTAGCAGTCCAGTGCTTATCATACAACACCATCAGCACTCCTTCAGCCATGGTGGTGGTTTGCCGTCAAGTCACTCTCGACTCATATCGACCCTATGTAGGGTTTCTGAGGCTAGAAATCTTTACAACAGCAGCAAGCCTCATCTTTCGCCCACAGAGTGGCTGGCAGATTCAAACTGCTGACCTTGCAGTTAGGAGCCCAATTGGTAACCAGGGCTCCATTCAGTCAACCGTGTGAGACCACAAAAGGCAGTTTTTGCCCAAAAACGAAGTTCAGGAGGCAGGAAGGGACAGGAAAGAAAGATGAATGGAAACGGGGAGCCAGGGGAGGAGATGCTATTCTATTGAAAGAATTATAACTGATGTCACAGAGAAAAAGTACGTATCAGTTGGTGATTGTCAAACTGATTTTCTCTGTAACCTTTTTTACCCATGCCATAAATTGTTGACCCACAAAAACTTACCTCAGGACTTCAGAGGAAATATGGCAATAATGCTCATTAATAGTTATGAAGCATTTACATAGTTTTGTAGCTCACGAAGCCAAAGTTACATAATATAATGAAATGTGCACAGACCAGGAGTCAGGAAACCAAAAGGGAAGAATGCGTTCAGCATTTCTCCTGCTGAAAGAATTGAAGAAAAAATTCAAACCTTTACTTGCAATATTGAAAGAGTCTATGGACAAAATATTGACTGATACAGAAAGCAACAAAAGAATATGGTCAATGTTTAACCATTCCAAGAGGTACCATATATGATCCAGAACCGATGGTACTGAAGGAGGAAGACATACAAGCAGCACTAAAAGCATTAATGAAAAGCAAGACTCCAAGAATTTGATGGGATACAAATGGAAATGTTTCAACAAACTGATACAGCGTTGGAGGCACCCACTTCTCTGTGCCCAGAAATTTGTAAGACAAGCCACGTGGCCAACCGATTGGAAGACATCCATATTTGTGTCCATTCCAAAGAGAGGTAACCCAGTGGAATGCAGAAATCATCTAACAATATGAAGATCAAATGCAATGAAACTTTTGCTGAAGATAATTCAAAAATGGTTGCAGTAGTATATCAACAGGGAAGTGCCAGAGATTCAGGCTAGATTCAGAAAAGGCTGTTGACCGAGGGGTATCATTGCTGACATCAGATGGATCTTGGCTAAAAGCAGAGTACCAGACAGATGTTTACTTCTGCTATATTGACTATATGCAAAGCCTTTGTGGATCATAACAAACTATGCATAACATTACAAAGAGTGGGTATTCTAAAACACTTAATTGTGCTCATGAGAAACCTGTGCATGACCAAGAGGCAGTCTTTAGAACAGAACGAGGGGGCACTGAATGGTTTAAAATCAGGACAGATATGCATCAGGGTTGTATCCTTTCACCATACTTATTCAATCTGTAATCAGAAATTATTTGGATTATATGAAGAAGCAGAACATGACATCAGGATTGGAGGAAGACTTACTAACAACCTGTGGTATACAGGTGACACAGTTTTGCTTGCTGAAAGGGAAAAGGACTAACTGATGAAGATCAAAGAAAACGCACCTCAATGTAAAGAAAATGAAAATTCTAACATCTGAACCAATAAGTAACATCATGATATAATGGAATAAAGATTGAAGCTGTTAGAAGACTTCAGTTTCCTTGGATCCATAATCAATGCTTGGAGTCCTAGAGTGGTGCTGCAGGGTAAGCACTGGACCACAAGGTCAGTTTGAACCTCAAGGTGGGCAGTTCAAACTCACCCACCGCTCCTTTGAAACCCGCTCCTAGAAACCAACTTGACAGCTGTTAGCAACAGCATAGTCAATGCTCAGAGAAATAGCAGTAAAGAAATCAAATGATGTATTTACATTGGGTAAATCTACTGCAAAAGACCTCTTTAAAGTAGTCAAGAACAGAGATGTCAGCCTTGGTAGTGTCAATTGCTTCATCTGCATGTGAAAGTTCAACAATGAATGAGGAAGAACCGATGCATTTTGAATGGTGTTGGCGAGTATTGAAAGTATCATGGACTGCCAGAAGAACAAACAAATCTCTCTTGGAAGAAGTACAGTGAGAATGGCAATATTTCGTGTCTCATGCTTCAGAGGTGTTATCAGGAAGGACTAGTTCCTCGAGAAGGACCTCATGCTTGGTAAAGTGGAGGGTCAGTGGAAAAGACGACTCCCACCAAGCTGGATTGACTCAATGGCAGCAATGAGGGGCTTAAACATAACAGTTGTCAGGATGCCACAGGACTGGGCAGTGTGTCCTTCTGTTGTGCACAGAGTTGAGAGTCAGTATGAGTTGCAACCCTTTGGAGGGCCCCTAACAACAATAACAACAGCATTTAACAGTTTCAGAAAACACTGTCCCCATACATTATCTTTTCCAGCTTCACAGCAGGCCTGCAAAGTGGTGGGTGTGGAGCTTTTATCCTGACTGTAGGTGAAGGGGCCAAGATTCTCAAATGTCATGTGAGTGTTACCTTCTTATCTGTGTTCTCCACTTGACTGTGAATTCTTGGAGGGCAAAGGCTGCCTTTTATCTCTATAGTCAGCACACAGATGCCAAATGGCACTATGAATGGATCATGGAGTGAGCCTCATTTTCACTATTCACTCTACTCTGTTTTTACTTATCAGTGGTGGTCAGGTTTTTGTTTTAATCCTTTTTTTTATTATTATTTTGAACTAACAAAATAATAAATGGGACCTCAGTATCTAACACAAACAAATGTAAAACTGGACCCTACCTCCCTTGCAGTGCAACCTCCTAAGGCATTTGAAGAGTTTTTTTCTTTTCATTTAGTGACATCTTTGTAGGGTTACTCATCTCCTATGGAGTCCTGACATGGTGCCATAGGATAAGCACTTCACCTTCAGGTCGGTTTGAACTGCAAGGTTGGCGGTTCAAACTCACCAGCCTCTCCTGGGAAACCCTATACAGGGTCGGTATGAGTCGGAACCAACTTGACAGCACTTAGGAATAACATCCCCTTCTACATAGGTATAAATACCCTGCATTTGTTTACCATCCATGGCCACACATGACACTGGGCCCGGCCCACTCCCCGCAAGAAGAGAGCTGGGGTAGTAAGAGCTGGCCTCAGCTGGGGGCAGACATCAGCTGCTCACCAGTCACAGCCCCGCAGTGCCTCTGCTCCAAGACAAGTACAGTTTTCCACTGAATTTCCAGTCAGAGAGCCAGGCATCTCCCGTGCATAGTACTCTCCCCACTTCTAGCCCGTTCCTACAGCCTGCCCAGTCTGCTCTCAGAACGTGCCTCCAGCCCACCTCTCCCACCACTGGGGTCCTTTTCCCAGATCTGCTGCCACCCTCTGACTGCTTCCCATTCTGGCTCCTCTCCAGTGCAGCCTCATCTCAGCGGCCAGACAGATCCATCGGGGGTGTAAGCCACTTCCTCTCACTCACTCCTCTACCCAGAACCTTCTCGTGAAGACTCAACACTCCAGAGTACAACCTGAGGCCCTCAGCTGTGGGGCTCTCCTTGTGCTCACCCTTGGCTCCAACATTCCCACCACACTTTCTATCCCTTACACAACCAGGTTGACCTTTGTCATGCTTTTGAGGACTTTCAGCTTGTTGTCCCCTCTTCCCAAACTCCCCCTGCCCCACCCTGCATCTTTCCCCACAGCCAATCCTGGGGATGGCTGAGGTGTCCATCTATTGGTGCACACAGGATCTTGGTGCACACAGGAACGCTGGGCATCAGAGGCTGACTCCATGGTAGCGAACAACCACAACTCCCGCAGTGTCATCTCCTGGCCTCCTGCGACGCTCTTTCCATTTGAGATTGTTAGGAAATTTGTGAAGACTTGGTGTCTTTCAGGTAGACAGGTGGACTTTGGTACCAACATCTCAGGAAGAACTAGGTCTTTGTCACATTTGTGCTGCATTGTTACATTGTAATGGCTTCCTGTGGTTTTTACCCCGTTTCTTTTTTTCTTCAAAGGACAAGAGGAATTTCCTGCGGGATCCCCCAGCTGGTGTGCAGTTCAGTTTTGACTTTGATCAGATGTACCCAGTGGCCCTGGTCATGCTCCAAGAAGATGAGCTTCTGAGTAGGATGAGATTCGCCTTGGTTCCCAAACTGTAAGCTAACGTGTCGCCCCCCCACCCATGAGTAGACATGTGCATTTGCTGATGGACTTGCTGAGATGAAGTATCACAGAAAGCCAAAAAAAAAAAAAAAGCCCAAACCCACTGCCATGGAGCCAGTTCCAACTTGTAGCTATTCTGGAGGACAGGGTAGAGCTGCCCCGCAGTGTTTCCAGGCTATAACTCCTTACAAGCAAACTGCGCCATCTTTTCTCCTGCAGAGCAACTGGTGGGCTCAAATCACCAACCCTTCTGTGAGCACCAAGAGCTTAAGCACGGCACTACCAGGGCTCCTTTGTGTCACAAAAGTGCCAGAGAATGAGACCTGAATGGCCCCTGAAGTGTGCACAAGGGGCTCTCCGGGAGCTCCACGGGGAATCAGTAGAGAGCAGGCTTCCCAGGCCCTTGTGCATGGAGGAGAGATGTGTGCCTGCAGGAACCACAAATCCAGTGTCCAAGGCCCATAGCAATCAGGCCCCCACTTGATTTCCACTCAAGACGTGGCCCCCAGCAGCAGTGTTCCCATGCTGCCTTTCCTGCCGGAAACCCATCTCCACCCAAAAACCCTCTGCTTGTCATGTGAGCGCCAGCATCCACAGAACCTTTGCTGTGGAGCCGCTCTCGAGTGCCCGTCAGCAGAGGGCGCCCTTCTACTCTGCACTCACCTGTCCAGCCCCTTGTATTGAACTTTCTGTGTTTATAAAGTCCAAGTTCTGTCTTCCACTGCGAAGCTTCTTTTGTTCCTAGTGCTCTATTCTTGCTGCATAGAGTCCCTGAGTGGCGCAAATGGTTAAGCACTCAGCCACTAGCTGAAAGATCAATGGTTTGAATCCATCCAGAAGCACCACGGAAGACAGTCTTGGCAATCTGCTTCCAAAAGGTCACAGTCTAGAAAGTTCTATGGGGCAATTCTGTTCTGCACAGTGGGATCACCATGTGTCGGAACCAGCTCCACAGTCATTCTTGTTAGGGTTCTAGTTTTCTTGAGATGCTCCTTTGCTGCTGTGGCTTTTTCTGGATTTGTGGTGGTTTGGGGCTTTGTCTTTCATGTCCTAGGCTTTCTTCATCCTTTCGTATTTAAAGGTGTTGTGTGGAAGGGGTGCTTGGCAGCAGTGTATGTGGACAGGTTTTTTGGGTGGAAATTCCTGGGTTGTGCAAATAATGACGTGCTCAACTACTAACAGAAAGGTGGGAGGTTTGCACCTACGCAGCGGCACCTCAAAAGAAAGGTCTGGTGATTTACGCCTGAAAAATCAATCACTGAAAACCCCGTGAGGCTCTCTCCCCATCCAGAACAGGGAAGAGAAAAATCATAAAGACACCTGGAAACAGTGAAGCCAAAGGACTAGTGGACCACCCAAACCCCAGCCCTCAAGACCCTGAGACCAGAAGCACCTGATGGTGCCAGGCTACCACTGTCTGACTGATCACAACAGAAAGTCCTGGATAGAGTGGGCAAAAATGTAGAACAAAACTCAAAATCATTAATTTTTTTAAAAGACTAGACTTATTGGTAGTGTGGTGGATTACGAGCTGGCCTGCTACCCATCACTCCGTGGGAGAAAGATGAGGCCTAGTACTCCCGTAAAGATCTACAGCCTCAGAAACCCTACACAGGGTTGCTGTGATTTGGTGGCACACCACCACCACCACCAATCTGTTAAAAGACTGGTAGAACCTTCTAGATATGGTTCTTAGACACTTTTTTTTTAATGTTTTATTGTGAGTCATGTTATAGTTTACATGGGAGAACATTAGTTTTACATTCATTCTTTCGTATATCATTTCATTGCCATGGTTACAATCCCCTCCATGCATCATCAACCAACCAAAGGGTGTACCCTGCAAGCCTGCCCCCCACACCCCCTCCCCGCGGTCTTCAGCACACAGTCACTCTCCCTCTCTGGATCTAAAGTCCCCAGGTAATCCATCGCTCCACGTCATCGTCTCTGCCTCCATCTCAGGCATCACTGCTTCTCTGAGTAGGGTCCTGCTCTCTGCTCTTCTCCTTTGATGGTTAAAGGGACCTCCGCTCCTAGACTGGAAAGTTAATCACTCCCTTCCTTGCTATAAAACGTCTACCTTTACATTTCCAACCCTCACAATCAGTCCTGATAACAATTATTCACTATTGTATCATAAGAGACCTATATGCATTTCGTTTCATCAGCCCCACCTAGACAGATTGGATAGTACTCACTGGGGATTCTGCCTTCCTCCATGCCCTCTGGATCTAGGTTACCTCTTGAAAGCTTGTATGCCAGTCACTTCTTGCCTTTGTAGCTCCCCCCCCCCCCCAACCCCCACTTTGGGTGGTCAATGTCCAAGTTGCCCATCCCTGTCTACTCTGTGTATGGAGGGGGTGGGAATGATCCTTGCTGTAAAGATTTGTTCCCTCTTTTGAGCTACTGCATTCATAGGTATAGGTCAAGTTCATCTAACTGTATCAGATTACTCTTTTTTTCCTCTTCTTTCTTCTTCTGGTTGAGCTCTGATCATCCAGTCATTGAAGCCAGGTCAAGTGGGTATTATCTGTGAGTGTGGGCGTTCTTGTGCATATGCCCTCTCTTCTTAGACACTCTTGAAGCCTTTCACCCAAACTGATGACAATTGGTTGTGACCTAGGAAGACTCAGTACTGGGGGCCAGAAGCTTTCCCAGTGAGGACACCTCAGCCTCCTGTCTGGTCATAGGCAGCCTGGCAGCTGCACCAGGAGAGAGACTGACCAGTCACCCTGCAGACTGTGCCCTGACCCTGGTGGGCCAGCTATTCCTGAACTCAGAGCCTCTCCTTGCAGCTCCCCATCAGCTTTCGTCAGCTAGGGGAGCAGTCCCAGGTGTACAGGCCGCAGTCTGGGGAGCGCTCCCACTTCCGTGGGGCCCTGCATCCACTCCTGTTTGGAGTCTGGAGGTGCTGGTACCTTCTGTCCCGGGGTCTGTGAAGCCTGCCTGATACTGGGGCTTGTGGCTTCTTGGCTGCCCTCAACTTTCCGTCCCACTGTCAGCTCCCCTCCCTTCTCTTCATCCTTGTGAGCTACTTCTCTTGACTCCACAGATACACATATGTGTTCCCTTTGCCATGTTCAACCAGCCAAATCGGGGTTGGAAGGAAGACCTGCTAGGTTTTGGGGCCCCATAGCATTCCAGCTCTGCTCTCTGTGATAAGACAATGCTTTAGAAGTATTCTTCCAACAACTTGGAACAACAGCTACCTATAATCATTTTGTTGTGTGTGTGTGTAGTTTTGGTTTTCTTTGCAATTAAATCATTTTTCACATGTTGGTGATAAAATTTCTATATCCTTTAATTATGTGTTTTTCTGGCTGAGTGGTTCAAACCACAAACTTTCAGTTAGCAGACCAGTGCGTTGCCATTGTGCCACCAGGCCTCCTTACTTATATACAGCAGCAGCATCTACCTCTCAAACTCTATTCAGGTTGTCAACGATGACCTTTTCTAGCCAAGAGACCCAGTTCAGACTCACATGTTGCACTTGGTTTTTCTTTCTTTTTTTTTTTTTTTTTGGTTAGATAAATTTTATTACATCAAAAATACCACCAATAGGTCTTAGGAATCACTCAGGCCTTGTTTCCATAGCTGGATAGCTTTTACATCTTACTCATCAGCCTGTTAGTTCCTTTTTCAGACACATAGATATGTACCATCCACAATTTTTCAGATATCCTTGTTTTTAACTGTTGTGGCTTGCTGAATTAAAACAGCTGAATTTGATACAAGTTCAATGTCATTCCATTCAAGAATTAATTCATCTTTCTGGGCTTGAGATACTGAACAAGCAACACCTGCCCTCATCCAAACCCTATCAATGTATTTTTCACCCAAGAAGTTTCAAATTTCAACAAGAGACCTGCTCTCTTGGATAACAACGTTGATGGGGAAATGAGCATCCACAGACTTCATCTTGTAACGGAAGCCCAGTGTAACACCCTGGATCATATTCTGCACATGACTACAGGTGGTGCGGACTGTAGCCCGTTCCTTTCTGTTTCCCCACCATTTGTCAACGCGAAGCCTCTTCTTTTCCTTCCCCAGGAGGCTGAGCTCCACATTGATGTGGTTGAAATCCCTCCACAGGATTTCCCAGGGGCTCTTCACGATGACTGTGTGGCCCTTTAGACTGATGTCAAGTTCTCCAGAATGTGAGCAGTCTGGTTGCTGAGAATGGTCTTCATTCTCGCAGTAGATGCGGCAAAGCTGCACTTAGTTTTTCTTGTCGTTCAGTCACCTTCATGTCAGGTGGCACACACTTGCATTTTGCCACGTTACTGTTACCTTTCATCACCTGATTAAGGTAGTGTCTGCCAGACTTATTGGCTGTAAAGTTACTTTTTAAATGGTTTTCTTCTTTATGGGTAGTGGGGGGCTGGGTACACTAAACGAGAAAGGTACTCCATTCCCCATCCGACTTTGAGTGTACTGATACCTTTATATCCGTCCTTGTGGACTCACAGGCCTATTTTATGCAGGCGGTGATCGTCCACATTGCTCTCATTATTGATTGCAATGCTCAGTCAGATCTGGCCAAATGGAACCCACTTTTGTATTATCTTCGACATGTCCCGTCATTCTTTGAGAACCTCTTTGCTTTCTAGCTCCAGATTCTTCATGATCATCTTGTATTTTCCCAGCTCTGATCCTGATGTGGATTAATGTGCTGGACTGTAAGGTCAGTGGTCCAAGTTCACCAGGCGATCCTCAGAAACTCTATACAGGGTCGCTGTGGGTCAGAACCGACTCGGCAGCACTTAACAACAACAACCCTGAAATTAGCCATTTTTCCAAAGAGCCCTGGTTTCTTTTAGTGACAAGTGGTATTTAGAAACCAAGATCAAGGTGTTAGCTGTGCTCGTGACATTTGAGGTCTGTATCAGTATTCATGGGCCCCCTTGTGGACTATGTGCATCCAGGTACATGTGCATACACTCAGTGCATCTGGATTCCACACCGTGTGTTTGCAGTACAAACCTCTTGACAGACATCATTCTAGTCATTGCCTTTTCCTTCTTTGTAACTCCCTTCTCCAGCAGGGAGAAACTTTGATACATGTACTTAGGACATCAGTCCCCCTAGATATAACCAATCTCCCATTGCCTCTGCCTAGACACCCTCCTCTCCGTGGTCAGGTCCAACTCCCATTCCAGGCCACGCCCCTGTGTAGACAATTACCTGCTCCCACTTAGACGCCAACACCCCACCCCAGGTGATTTTAATATGCAGCCGAGTGTGAGAAGCACCATAGAGTCCTCAGGTGCAACTGCACTTAAATCTTTTTAACCTTCTCTTAGCTCATTGTTAACTAGCTTATTAGTTGCTGGTTATCTGCAATTTTGCCAAACATTTCTTTTTACAAGGAGCACACCCATGACCGTTTCTTCTCACAGCTTGAAAACATTTAATACACTAAGCAACAAGGCATTGGTGGAAGCCTGGCTGTAGGTCACATCTCAAATTGTCCCCTGGTTTCCTCTGCTGAGGGCAGAGTTAGGTAACTACCAAGACTGTTGAGGTTTCCTTTGGGAATTTTTTTTCTAAGTTGCCTTTTGCTGCTGTGGAGGCGATAACTCTTTTCTTTCTCCTCTCATCCAGTGTTTCATTTCTGCAGCAAATGAGAACCTGGTTTGAACCCCACGTGGGTTTGAAAGAGCTCCCAAATACCATCTTCCTCCAGTCTCCTCTGCACTGACAACCCCATATGCCTGTGTGTACTGGTTTGCTCACGTGCTCAGCCAGATTGTGGTCTCTTACAGTGTGAAGGAAGAAGTGTTTTGGAGGAACTACTTTTACCGTGTCTCCCTGATCAAGCAGTCCGCCCAGCTGAGTGCCCTGGCCGCCCAGCAGCAGGCCGTGGAAAAGGAGGAGAGAAGGAATGTCCGAGAAGACAACCTGCCGCTGACAGGTAGCTTCCAAGGAGAACACTCCATTCTGTGGAGAGAACGGCTTTCACATTTGGGAGCTTAGCTTAGAGACTCTCAGGAGCTTGTCATCTTGTGGACAAATTCTTTCCAGTCCAGAGGAAACTCTCATTTCTGTTGCCCCTCTCTCTCTCCCAGCTCACACATCTTCTCCTGGCTCTGCTTTACTCTGCCCTTTTCTCGTTCCTTAGCTTCGATCACCATCTCCTCTGCATCTTTCATAACCCCTTCCCACACATGACTTTCCAGACCCGCTCTCCTCCGCTTGGATTCACACTGCCGCCGCCATGTCTTTGTTCTTCCTCGGACTTCCGTTAGACTTGGTGTTTCCTGAATAAGCACAGCCGGAAGGAGCAGAACTGAAGCTTGTTCCAGTCCCAGCTAGTCAAGGACACCTTCTGCTTGTTTCATTGTGACAGTTTAGTCGGGTTGTTGGGAAAGGGGTTTCACAGTATTAGCAACGATTTACAATCTGTAATAGTCATTGACGTGCGTTGTTGTCTTTTATGTCATTTGTTAACGTTTACTGAGCACCTGCTATGTTGTTTGTTGTTATGTGCCATTGAGTCGGTTCCGACCCATAGCGACCCTGTATAGGGTTTCCGAGGGTGTAAATCTTTACGGGAGTAGAAAGCCTCATCTTTCTCCCGCGGAGCAGCTGGTAGTTTCGAACGAATTACACCTGGAGCCCAATCCCACAAGAAGTGGGGAATGTAGGTTGTGGACTTTAAATGAATAAAGCAGTCCAGTGTGTCACGAGATCGAGGTTGTACTGCTCATATTAGGAAGAGACCAGCCACTGCAGGTACGGCCAGGCCATGTCATGAAGCCGCTCTGCCATTTTGTTAGCATCCATCCCAGCTGCCATGCTTCAGCATTGCTCCCTATGCCTTTTTCCTGAAAATGGCCATTTCACCAAATCATGCCTGTGTAACAAAACAGATTTATGACAGCGCTCCATAAAGACCAGCTCTCTAGTATGGTTCAGACAATCGAAAACAGGGCCAGTGAGGAAGACGAGGCTGCTACTCCTGACTGCAGCGGGGCTAGAATTTTGTGCTCTCTTACCTCCTGACAACAGGGAAACTGCTAACTCCCAGAATTCTCGTCCTGAAACAGTAGAACTCTTGTATGGTGATGGTCCTAGCACTGGAGTAAAGAGATGTTCCTGCTTGATAACATGTACAAAGGACATTGAATATGATGATATATTAAACAGTATCCCCCAAAATAAGATGTTGAGGCATTTTCGCATTGTAAGAACTTGAGAAATGCTGCATTGACAGCTTATTTTAGAAAAGTATTTCATAACATCATACTGGTGGGTATTTCAGCTGTGATTATAACCTGTGTTCGGAATTGTATCAAGCAATTATTGTCTCTTTTATTCTCACTTCATAGAGGCAGTACGGCCCAAAACACCACCTGTCGTAATCAAATCTCAGCTTAAAACTCAAGAGGTAATAACAGTTTTCCATTGTACCGAGCGGGTTGGTGTCTGGCAATGAGTCAGTGTGTGTTCCCCTAAGTCAGCTGCCACGTGGAAGGACTTAGGGGAACAGGGCTTCTCAGTAGTAAAGAGGAGGCACCGGGGCTTGACTAGTTGAGGCTCCATGGCAGAGACATGGACCGCTTTCCTGGTACGGCCACTTCTAGCTGTGTTCCTTGGGGATGAGATCAAGTGAGCCGAGTGATGGAAATTGGGCGTGAGACTAGACGATGCCGGGGGTGACACACTCAGTTACCAGCACCTGTGCCAGTTAGAAGGCGGAAGAGCAGTTGACCATTGCCTTACAAGTAGCAGAGGAAGGAGATGTCAGTGCCATCGCCTCCCACTGGGAGAGGACTTTGCACGGAAATGGCCCTTAGACAGTTGCTCCCAGAATGCCTTTCTCGAATTTCAGGATGAGGAGGAGATTTCCACTAGCCCAGGTGTCTCTGAGTTCGTCAGTGATGCCTTTGACACCTGTAACCTCAATCAGGAGGATCTGAGGAAAGAAATGGAGCAGCTCGTGCTTGACAAAAAGCAAGAGGAGACAACTGTTCTAGAAGGTAAACACCCAAACGCAGCCCCGCTAAAAACCTCTGCTCCCAAATTGCTAAGCTGACTGGAGGAAATGGCTATTCCGGAGCAACCCTGCAATAACCAGGTAGATGCGGGGCCTGCGTCTCTGTGACTGGTGGTGATGGTGGCCCAACATAATGAATTTAACCTGTCACTCAGTTATACTGAATTAGTATATGTCTAGGTAGAGAGAGATATTTACCCCAATCAAACCAGTTTTAAAAATCAAGTACTAGTACTTAAAAGGTTGTCCATTTTGCCTCACGAGGAGGTGGATTTCAATCAGTATGACCAGATCGCAGGCCCTTGGTCCAAAATGTGAGCAGAAGAGGACCAGACGAGTATGGAGTCTGGTTACACATCAGAGCTCCTCAGTGAAACGCTCCCAGCCCTACCCCCATGGCTAAGGGAGAAATTGAGACCCAGGTGGTGATGTGGTCTGTGAAGACGCTGCTTTCCATCCTACGCTGTAAGGCTGTAAGTGGCCTGGGGGTCTCCATGCTAGTAGAAGGCTCCTTTCTCAGCTGCTGTGTACAGCCAGAGTATTGCTTCTGCGATGCAGCAGGCTGCCTGTAGAAAGGGAAGGAATTGACACACGAGCCCAAGCAAGAGAGGCACAGCGTTGGGAAGGCCCACTGGGGCAAGTGCCTCTTCCTACTGGCTGAAAGACAAAGGATTGGTTAAACATCACCTTGGGAAGCTGGTCCCATGAAGCTCTCTCAGATGCGCAGTGCCTTCAGAAAGCCAGCTTTTCCCACAGTGGTGTGCACAGCAACACAGTTGTGACATAGTCGGCAGACTTTGCCGGCTGGATGTCCCATGAGAAAACTAGCCTCCCAAAGTTGAGTCTGAAAACTCTTTCACACTGGGGCGAGGAGGGAAGGCACGAAGAGCTGCTGGTGGGGAAAAGGGAAGCAAGTGGGAAGTGAAAACCTAGAGGCACTTTGGCCACTTGGGCAAGTCACAGGCTCTGTGAGCCTCTGCTTCCCAGTCTGGACAGTGTTGTGTGGAATCGGGGTGGCTCTAAGGATGAAGAGTATCCAGCTCAGTACAGTCCCTGCTCAAACGTTAGTGTGTTGGCTGCCATCATTATTGGGAATGGTAGAAGTGAACTTGCATGCAAAGATTAATAGTTATTGAAATAATTTTAATAAAAGGAAATGCAGAGGGAAGAAAAAGCCAAATAGCGCCCAGTTTACTGACGACACTTCATACCTTTGCTTTTATACTCTAACACCAAATGTCTGTCTGTCTGGTCCTTGTTCAAATTGGTTCCATTTTTCTGATGGAACTTAGTGGTACAGTGCACGAATCCTCGCCAGGGCTGATGGACGTCATGAAAATTGATGGGCGTGTGAAAACCAGCATTGTGAGTCCCCACAGAATCTTACTTCTCATTTGTTCCTTTTTCAGATGACTCTGCCGACTGGGAAAAAGAGTTGCAACAGGAACTTCAAGAATATGAAGTGGTGGCAGACTCAGAGAAAAGAGATGAAAACTGGGATAAGGAAATAGAGAAAATGCTTCAAGAGGAGAATTAGCCGCTTCCTGAAACAAATGGTTATTCCTGAGCCTTCTGCAAACTGTCAGTAAATTCATGCAGTCCAGACTCACTGAATCACAGAGGAACACAACTTGATGGAAATTTAGAATTGCTTCAGCCAGCAGAGTTTTTTTGTTGTTGTTGGGTTTTTTTTCAAGCTGAAACTTGCCTCTGCTACTTATAAAAAAAAAAAAAATAGTATCTAGACCAGTTATCCTAATCAATAAGAAGAGATGTTTTATGTAATTCTTCAGTAGAAATCTAGTTGGGCAAGTCTTTGTAATCAGCATAGAAATCTTTGTTGAAAAAACACAAGTAAAATCCTAGAATTCTGTTTTCTGTAAAGTCAATAAATATAACTTAATTTATTCTTCCATCTTACTTTTATAAACATTTGAACTCACTGTATTTTCTTTGCTATGTGTTTGTTAATGAAGTGATTACTATGAAAAGGACCAAATTATACCAAAGAACTTAGAGGAAGTACTTTAAAAATTATCTTGATAGGTATGAGGGGGCTTAAAAAGTTAATGGAAACATGGAATTAAAAGATAATGGCATTTTGTCACAAACCTTTTGAAGTCCCTTTGTATTTCCTAGATTTCCATCTGGGAGCCAAACGATAAAATATGATAAAATCTGTTATGTTGATTTTTAATGGCATAAATATCACAATTTGACATTAAGAAATCCTGTGCAAATGTTTCTTTTTCTTTGGGGATTTACTTTTTTGTTTCCCCACATTTAATGTTTTCCTAAATTTCATGTCAGTAGTCTTACGGAAAGCGGTCCCTTTCATCCTTTTTATATTAAGGACCTCCAAGCCTGTTCACTTCAGAGCCTCTTGTTTCAGTCACCATCACGTATAAATCAATGTTTAGCTTCGTTTGTCTTCATTACACTATCAGTCTTTCTAAGATTGTGTTCTTCTGAGTACAGCCAACTCTAGTGATGAACTCTAATTGGTTTTGTGTTGTACCAGCAAGTACATGTTCATAGAATGATTCTTTTAAAAGAACACAATGCCTTACTGTCAGAAAACTTCTGACGCATTTTGCTTCTTGAGCTTTTCTCAAGGAGCCTTTAGAAAGAAGAACAGAATTAAGAAATGTCATTATTTTTAAGAATATATATATATACCTATTCATGTTCTTGCCCCATAAAAATTAATCTGTGTCTTCTGAGCAAAGATGAAGTCAACGAGCGAACTGGGCCCAGAGCCAAGCACTACCCTGGCTGGGTTCATAGTTTGGACTCTGCACATGTGAGTAAGGCCAACTCAGTCGGCATCGCTTTTGATAGCAGTAAACTGTCTAACTGCGTTAGTGGGTTCATCATAATAAAATATTCTAACGCAGGCAGTAGGTTCTCTGAGGGTATTGTGTGAACCCTCCTCCCACCCTAGTTGTACTGTTGTTAAGTGTTGTGGAGTCGGTTCTGACTCATAGAGACCCTGTGTATGGTTTCCGAGGGGCGGCTGGTGAGTTTGAACCACTAACCTTGCTGCTCAAACAAACCTTGAGGTTGAGGTGGCATCATACCAGGTCTCGTCATTAGGAGCCTTCACTTCGGCTCTGCCTCATAGCGACCCTCTGCACAACATAAGGAAACACTGCTCGGTTGTGTGCCATCCTTACAATTGTCACCCTTGAGCCCACTGCTGTTGCTGTGCCAGTCCATCTCATTAGGGGTCGCCCTTTGTTTTCCTCTGATCCTCTTCCAAACATGTCCCTCTCCAAGGACTGGTCTCTCCTAGTAACATGTCTGATGTATGAGAGATGAAGTTGAAGCTTAGAAGCTCCAAGCTTCTAAGGAGCATTCTGGCTGTACTTCATCCAAGATGTTTTTGTTAAGTACCTTCGAGTCGGTTCCGACCCATAGCGACCCTGTACAGGGTTTCCGAGATAGATTGTTTTTCTGGAAGTCCATGTACTTTGTTTTTTTGGGGGGGGTTTTGTAACTTTTTCTTGTGAATTGAGTTTACAGAGAAGATCATGCATTTTTGCATTTTACAGATTATACACTTGTTTCATCTCAATGACTGCAATCCCCTCCATATAACATCTTCCCTGTGCTTCCTAGCTCCATTCCACCCTCCTTCCCATCCCTTCTCAACTCTGTCCTTAGGTAAATGTTGCCCTTTTGATTTGGAATGACTGACCATTCCATGGTGAGCAGACCTTAGTAGTAGTGTTGTGCCCCACCCCCTTACATATCTACAGCTTGGCTGAAAACTGGGTCACAGGGCGAGCTCCTTTCCAGACCTGAAAGGTAATTGAGGCCCATAGCCTTGGGTACTCTCTAGTGTATTTCTGGAGTAAGCGTGGTCTTCTTTGATATATCATTTTGAGTTTGTTCTACATTTTCTGTCACTATATCTGGGGCCTTTTCAGAGCAGTTGATAGTGGTAGCCAGGCACCACTGAGTTCACCCGGTCTCAGAGTAGTAGAGACTGATGTCCACGTGGTCCATTAGACCACTAGATAAATTTATTCCAACCCTCTTCCGTTCTCATCACTTCTTTTCCTCTGCACATGGAGAGACCCATAGCTGTACCTTAGATGGACACTCAAGAGCTTTTCAGATCCCAGATGCTACTCACCAAAGTAAACTATAGACCATTGTGTTTGTGGCCAATTGAAGTCCCTGGTGCTTTTAATATTCTTCTCCACACCATAACTCAAATGCATCAATTCTTTTGCATTCTTCCTTATCAATTGTCCAACTTTCACATATGCATGAGGCTATTGAAAATACCGCGTCTTGAGTCACATATACCTTAGTCCTCAAACTGGTATCTTTGTTCTTGTTGTTGTTAAATCCCATCGAGTTGGTTCCAACTCATAGCGACCCTGTATAGGGTTTCCAAGGAGCAGCTACTGAGTTTGAATGGCTGAGCTTGCAGTTCAAATGAGCTTGCAGTCCAGTGATTATCCTAAAGCACCACACCAGGCCTCAATACAAAAGAAAGAAACTCCGCCTACTCCTGCACCATCTTCTCGATTGTTCCCATGTTTGAGCCCGTTGTTAAAACAGCGACCTGTCAATCTATCTTATTGAGGGTCTTCCTCTTTTTCACTGACCCTCTACCAAACATGGAGTCCTGGTGTGGTACTGTGGGGTAAAGCACTGGACCACAAGGTCAGTTTGAACTGCAAGGTTGGTGGTTCAAATTCACTAGCCACTCTTCAGAAACCCTATATACAGCGTAATTATGAGGCTGAAGGAGCTCTGGTAGCAGTGGTTACGAATCGGGCTGCAAGCCGCAAGGTCAGCAGTTCGAAACTACCAGCTGTTCCGCGGGAGAAAGATGAGGCTTTCTGCTCCCGTAAAGATTTACAACCTTGGAAACCCTGTACAGGGTTGCTATGAGTCGGAACCGACTCCACGGCACATAACAACAGCAAACATGATTCCTTTTCCATAGTGAAAAACAACAATCATGAAGAAATAACAGTTACACATAATAATAATAAAATGTGCAAAAAAAATTAATAAGATGATTGTTTCCAGGAACCTCAAATACAGGTAAAACTAAATTATGTTGAAGCAATAAAATAAGTAAAACAGCTGCCAGAAATTTCAAGGAAAAAACAAACAAGGTCTACTATTACATATAGCAAAATAAAACCAATGTAAAGAGGGCCTCCAAAATTGAGTTAACACTCAATTTTGTTCCCCTCCATGGAAATCTTTAGTAAAAGGTGAAAGATTCTTACAGTTTGAAAAGAAACAAGAATTTTACCAACAAGCTGGGAGTGACAATTGCCAGGTAACTGAAGGTGGGAATTCACCCATTCAAATACCTTCTGCTGTACTTTCTGTCCACAGTGTTGGAGAACTGCATTCTTTAGTAGTTTTCAAAGAAGCCTCTAAGCTTTTAGCATAACTATGGTTATGCAAAAGTGAAATGAGTCAATGTCCTTGAACTTCACCCTGGAGCCTTTGGGGAAAGGAGGGAGGGCAGGCTGCAGTCTTCTATGATTCACCAGGGTTCAGAGTGTGATTTCTTTTGCCTAAAGGATTTTTGTTGACCCCTTATGAAATTGTGAGGAATGTTGTCCATACTGACAAACGCTCAAGTAATACAATCTGTACTCATTTTACCAGAGAGAGGTTTTCTTTGTTTGATTTTGCAAAATCAGGCACCCAATCCAGTAGAGACGCGCGGCATGGCTGGCCAGCAAACAGTTTTATTCCCCTGTCCCTAAAAAGCCCCTCCTCCAGTTCTCCTTCCACAGGTTATTGCAAGGTCACCATCTTCTTCCAAGGTCGCCTAATAGTCCTTACTGGGAGCATTCTCATTTAAATTTAGTTTTCCCTTCTCCATGAACTTCCCCTATTTCCTTGATGGGTGTATTCTTAGTTTAAAGTCTAGCTGGTCAAACTAGTTCTTCACCTCCTTTTGGTATCCTAGCCTGCTACCCCCAAGACTTCCCTTAGTCTTGAAGATGGACCATGTCCACAAGAGTGATTTCTCACAAAATTGATGTCAGAGCTATATATCTAACATGAAAGGTTCACAATATAATGTTAAATGAAAAAAGTCAAGTTACACAAATACATTGAATAGAATTACACTCTTTCATCCCCAAAATGCACATGCTATGTATGTGTGGGACCTGAATATGCATAGAAAGAACAAAAAAACGACCAGAAGGCTCACTCTGAAATGCTCTACCATCACCGCAGGATCGTGAAGGCAAAAGAAGAGGAAGCCGGGCTGAAGGAGAAATCCAACTAGAGCCGCAAGGAAGAACAAAAGGCAAAAATGCCGAAGCAAGAAGATGAGATTCATCACAAGTGTGCAAACGCTCCCAAAGCCCAGGAAAATCCCAAAGCACTGGGATAAAATAAACTCAGAATTAGGATTTAAAGAAAGAAAAGTGTCTCTGGTAATTAACTCTCAATAATCAGCGAGGTTCAGGGGTTCTTTCTTACTCATTATTTGTGTATGTGTTTTCACAAATGTCTGCATGTGTCCAGAGACCATAGTTC